CAGCTCTACTGCCCCATGAGTTGGTAAGGAGCCTCCATGGGATAGTGAATTATGTACTGGGCTGCTAACTCTTAATAAGGTCAGCAGTTCAAACCCATTAGCCTTTCTACAGGATAAAGATGAGGCTTTCTGCTTCTGTAAAGATTTCCAGTCTTGGGAACTCTATTTAGGGCCATGATGGGTCAGAATTGATTGAACATCACGGCGTTTAGGTCAGAATTGTAATCAACTTGATGGTGCTATAGCAACAAAACAACTATTCTTGGAGGGCAGTTCTAGGCAGGAGAGGAGGCAAATGGTAACACTCAAGCTGTCCTCTCTAAGAGGACAGCGCCACATTGCGCTTTGACAATGAAAGACACCCCAGAAGAGCACATAGCCAGTCCATTCTCCTGGCTTCAAAGAACAAAGTCTGGTGCCTAATTTGCAGATGAGGGGGTGAGGCAACAGGAAGCCGAGTGGCTTAGCCTACTTCACACACAGTCACAGGCAGCCAGGACCTACTTCCTGAAGACACTTGGCTTGCACCCTCATTTAGAGTCCCCGGGTTGTGAGCGGCTTTGGTAACGTGAACTGTGCTGTTTCTTGGCTAGATATGATGTGTGCCCTTCAATTGTCCTTCCAAGTGCTGACAGCTATTGTTTTCTCTTTGGTTTGCATGCAGTACAATTTCAGCAATACTGAAACTTTTGTGTTAGCTTCACGTTTGCATCCTTTGCATATTAGAAAATTAGGTGTTCAACTGGTGATAAAATGTGCTTCAGTGTTTTTATTCCTTGTGAAATTGGATACTATACATTGCAGATACAACTCCATTTTTAAGGCATTTGATTATCCTCTTGAGAAATGCATACAAAGATACTGGAAAGCAACTATCCAAACATCATATGTAGTTTGTATAGCTTTTTAAAAAACGGTAAAAATAATTATTTTAAAAGTGTATAAATCACAGATAGACAGGACCAATAATGAAAGTAGCAATACCAGGAGGGTAAGGGAGCAAAGGAGAACTTATCACAATGATCTACATATAACCTCCTCCCAGGAGGATGACCAACAGAAAAGAGGGTGAAAGTAGACATCGGTCAGTGTAAGAAATGAAATAATAATAACAATATATAAATTATCAAGGGTTCATGGAGGAGGGAGGGTGGGTGATGGAGGG